GTGAGAGGATTAGTGAATTGGTGGGTTCGAGATTGCGTGGCTGGGTGAGTGAGTCGGTTAGAGATTAAGTGGGTGGCAGGGTAAGTGGGTGGGTTGCTTAATGGGTGTGTGAGTGGGTGGATGAATAGGTGAGTAGACAGGTGCATGGTTTAGTGGGTGGGTGAATAAGTGAGTGGGTGGGTGAGTGGATTGTTGCGTGAATGTGTGGGTGGTTGAGTTTTTGGGTAGATGGGTGTGTGAATATCGGAGGAGAGTTCGTGTGTTAGTGGGTGGGTGAGTCGGAGAGTGTGGCACCATGGTGCCGAGATGTTAACTACCTCGCCTAGTATACAGGAGGTTGTGGATTTTATCCCAGCCCTTCCGCTTGGATATTTGGAGTTTCTATGTTCTCCCCGTGGTCGTGTGGAATTTTCTCCAGGTTGTCCCTCCACATTTGAACATGCATTTATATAATTTGGTTGCAATAACATTCTTCATGAAAAGCCACTTAATTGAACTGTCATTTGTGCTGAGGTGGCTTCCGACAAAGATCTATAGCTCACGGCCTTACCCAGTAAAATGAAAAACAATTAAATATTAGTTTATTGTGTGGATGAGTGGGTCGTGCGTGAGTGGGTGGGTGCGTGGGTGGATGAGTGAGTGGATGGGTTGATGCGTCGTAGGTGAGTCGCTGAGTGAGTGAGTGGCTGGGTGCATGAGTGTGAGTTAGAAATTGAGTGGGTGGCTTAGTGAGTGGGTCAGTGTATGAATGGCTCAGTAGTTGAGTGAGTGAGTGGGTGATTGAATGAGTGGGCAGGTTTGTGGGTTAGTGGGTGGGAGAGTCAGACAGTGGGGCACCATGGTGGCGAGATGTTAACTACCTCGCCTGGTAGCCGCGACTCGGTTTACTCCGATGTGCAATGTCATCTTTATTTCGATCCTGTGAGTGTACAATTTTTGATTAAACTTCATTTACTGAGTGAATACAAGACCACTTATATGCTGATGTCCATTTTTATCATAGCTGTGATTCATTCAGCCATTCACTCACTCAGCCACAAACTCACTCAGCCACACACTCACTCAACGACTCACTCAACTACTCAGCCGCTCACTCAGATATTCACTCACTCAACCACTCACTCAATAATTAACTCAACCACTCAACCAATCATTCAACCACCCACTCACTCAATCACTCAACCATCACACTCTCACTCAACCATTCACTCACTCAGCCACTCACTCAGTCACTCAACCACTCGCTCACTAAACCACTCGCTCATTCAACCGCTCGCTCACTCAACCATTCACTCACTCAACCACACGCTTGCTCACTCAATCACTCACTTGCTCACTCAAGCACTCGCTAACTCAACCAATCACCCAACCACTCGCTCAACGATTCACTCAACCCCTCACCAAACCACTCACTCAACGACTCACCAGAATCCTCTCGGCTTGGGGACTCACTTAACCACTCACTTAACCATTCACTTAACCACTCACTAGAGCAACCACTCACTCACTTAATGACTTACTCAACCACTCAACCAATTACTTTCTCACTCACTCAGCCACTCACTCCTTCACTCAGCCACTCACCCTTTCACTCAGCCACTCACTCATTTAGCCACTCACTCAGCCACACACTCAACCACTCAGCCGCGCACTCACGAAGCTACTTACTCACGAAGCTACTTACTCACTCAACCACTCACTCACTTAATCACTTACTCAGCCACTCAACCATCACTCTTTAACTCACTCAACCATTCACTCAATCAGCCACACTCACTCAACGACTCACTAACTTAACCGCTCAGCCGCTCGGTCACTCTATCTCAATCACTCAACCACTCACTCATTCAACCATTCCCGAATTCATTCAACCAGTCACTCAACCATTATGTCGCTGGACGAGTCCCACCTTGATGGGTCTGCGACATTTCTTTCCAGAGTTATTGGCAAAAAACCACAAACATCCCAGAATCCTCTCGGTTTGGGGTCCAAATGTTGTCGCTTATTATATCCCATGAGAAACATCGCATCGAATAAATGTGATTGGATTCTCCCCGCCTGGACGAGCAGAATTGAATATGTAAGCATCAGGGTTTGGATCAAACCTACAACCTCCTGTATACCGGGCAAAGTAGTGAACTCGTCACCCGGGTCGCCCTAATCCATTCCCGTATCTCTTCTTCTGTGTGTGTGCTACAGGCGGGTGTCTCAGATTGCCAGCACCATGTGATGGGAGCTCCAGGGCATGCTGCGTGCTCGCCAGGAGGGGCTGGGCAAGATGGCGTAGTCGCTGGAGCAGCTGCGGGCGCGGCACCGCCGCTCTCACCCTGGCGGAGTGCAGCAACACAGTGGGGCGGCACCAGCGGGACACTCTGGACAACGCAGCCAAGGTGCGCGCCAGCCACTCACTCACTCATCCACACATACAACCACTCACTCACTCATCCACTAACTTAAACCACTCACTCAACTACTCACTCAACCACTCACTCAACCATTCACTCAACCATCCACTTACTCAACCACTCAATCAATCACTCACTCAGTCATTAACTCAACCACTCACTCAACCACACACTCATGCGCTTTAAACACTCACTCATTGGTTCAAACACTCACTCATTCAAATACTCATTCAACCACTCACTAATTCACTCAACCACTCACTCATGAACCACTCACTCGCTCACTCAACCACCCGCTCGCTCACTGAACCAATCGCTCCATAAATCACTCATTCAGCCACTCACTCAACCATTCACTCACTCACTCACTCAGCCACTCACTCAACCAATCAATCACTCAATCATGAATTAAACCACTCACTCAACCCCTTACACATGGGCTCATCACCTGTGTCTCAACCATCTTACTGAGTAACATAACTCTTTTTTTAGAAGTGACCTGGCCACAAGTGATAGGTCAACAACGTGCCTTATGTGGAAATTTATAGCAGCCAACTACTCTAAATGCCTGTTTCTAAATGTGTAGGGAAAATCCAGAGGACCAGAATAAAAATCCACTTGACCACGGAGAGAACATGCAAACTCCAAATACACAGGTGTCAGGGTTGGGATCTAACCGACAACCTCCTGTATACCAGACGAGGTAGTTAACATTGTATCCGGGCAAGCCGTACATCGAGCTGGAGTGGACCATGCGGCCCATCCCTATCGCGTGAGTGGCTCCCACAGTTGTTATTGTGTTCATATGTGTGTGGTCTGCTTGTGTGTATGCGTGTGCCGCACTGCGCTATGAACCCAACATGACCAGGCTGTTGCCCCGCTCGCCCGACTCGTTGTGAGGCTTGCCCACCCCCCAGGGCGTTGTCGTGAAGATACCGCTGGGAGGAAGAATATCTCACAATACTGGAAGAGATGAGGACTACACAGTGATTAACTGAGTGGGTCTGTGAGTGAGTTAGTGGATGAGTCGGTGGGTGAGTCGGTGGGTGAGTGGGTGGGTCAGTGGTTGAGGGAGTAGGTGAGTGAGTGTGTTAGAGAAGTGGGTGTGTTGAATGTGAGTGAATAGATGAGTGTGTGGAGCAGTGGATTGTTGAGTGAGTCGTTGGGTGAGTGAGTAGGTGGGTGTGGGTTAGAGATTGAGTGGGTGGTGGGTGATTGTGTGAATTAGTGGGTGGGTGGGTGAGTGAATGGTTTGAAGTGATTGATTAGGTGAGAGAGTTGGTGAGAGGTGGGTTGGTGAGTGGATGAGAAAATTGGTGGGTTACAGATTGAGTGGGTGGGTAACTAGGTGATTGGGAGGGTGAGTGGGTGAGTGGCTTATTGGGTGAGTAAGTCGGTGGGTGAGTAGGTGAGTGCCTGGATAAGTAAGTGAGTGTATGGGAGCATGAGTGGGTGGATGGTTGAGTAGGTGGGTGAATAGGTGAGTGGGTGGTGGGTGGGTGAATTAGTGAGTGACTGTGTGAGTGAGTGCGTGGGTAGGTCAGTTGCGATATTGTGTGGGGGAGTGGGTGAGTGAGGGCTTGAGTGAATAGGTTAGTGGGCGGGTGAGTAGATTGTTGGGTGAGTGGGTGGGTGGGTGAGTCAGTTAGTGGGTGGGTGAGTGAATATCGAAGGTTGAGCAGGTGAGTTGTTAGTGTGTGATTGGGTGGGTGGGTGAGTCAAAGAGTGAGGCACCACGGTGGCGACATGTTAACTACCTCACCTAGTATACAGGATTTTGTGAATTCGATCCCATCCCTTCCACCTGTATATTTGGAGTTGGCATGTTCTCCCTGTGGTGTGGATTTTTCTCTGGGTCCTCCAGGTTTTCTCTCCATATTTAAAATCAACATTCATTTAGAGGATGTGGCTGCAATGAATGTCTCCATGATAATCCACTTCGTTAACCTATCATTTGTAACCAGGTCACTTCTGAAAAATATTAATTTAGTTATCTGAACCAGAGGTCGCAACCGGGTACCCGATACCCGTACCCTACCCGATACCCGGCTACCTGTACCCGGCCGGGTACGGTACGGGTAGCCGTTTGTGACCCTGGGCGGCCGGGTACGGGTACGGATAGGCCCTGAGGCACTGGTGAGTAACCGTTTGTCACTCATTTCGGGTAGGGTACGGGTACGGGTAGGGAACGGGTACCCGTACCTCTGATCTGAACCTTTTCTGGTAAAATAAAAAATATTGTTTAATTTAGTTTATTGGGTGGGTGAGTGGGTAGGTGGGTTATTGAGTGATTTGGTGGGTAGGTTAGAGAATGAGTGGGTGAATGGGTGGGTGTGTGAGTGGGGGTGTGATTAGTTGAGTAGGTGAGTGGGTGAGTAAATTGTTGAGTGAGTGGATTAGAGATTGAGTGGGTGGCAGGGTGAGTGGGTTTGTGAGTGGATTGGTGGGTGTTTGAATGGGTGAGTGGGTGGAGTGCCGTGGTGGCGAGCTGTTAACTACCTCGCCTTTTATACAGGAGGTCGTGAGGTCGATCCCGACCCTGACACCTGTATAGTTGCATGTTCTCCCCATGTTTCCGTGGAATTTTCTCCAGGTGCTCCGGGTTCTCCCTCCACATTTAAAAACATGCAATTATAGAATTTGGCTGCTATCACTTTATACGTGAAAAGCCACTTAATTGAGTTGAATATTTGTGGTCAAATGGTTTTTGAAAAATATCTATATAGCTGAGTGCCTTACCTGGTAAAATAAAAAAGCGTAATTTTCATTTAGTGTGCAAAGGAGTGGCTGGGTCGGTGAGTGGATGAGTGAGTGCGATGTTTGATGGGTGTTTTATTTTACTTTTATTAATTTACATTTTTTTTACCTACGTGACTTTACCGAAAAAACCTAAGAATAGTTTAATGGGTAGTAGGTCAGTGGTGGGGTGAGTGAGTGTGGGCTAGAGATTGAGTGGGTGGCTTGGTGAGTGGGTGAGTGTGTGCTTGGCTCGGTGGTTGAATGAATGGATGGTTGAGTTAGTGGGTGGGTGTTTGAGTGTGTGTTATCGTGGGTGGGAGAGTCAGAGAGTGGAGTGCCATGTTGGCAAATTGTTAACTACCTTGCCTGGTATTTTTAAGTTCGTAGGTTCGATCCAAACCCTGCTTCTCAAAACAACCTATATAGCTCAGTGGGCCTTACCTGGGGAATTTTTTTTTTAGATTTAGTTAAGGGTGTTGGTGAGTGGGCAGGTGGGTGAGTGCATCAGTGTGGGTTTGAGATTTAGTGGGTGGCTTGGTGAGTGGGTAAGTTCGAGTAACTCAGTGGTTGAGTTAGTGGGTGGTTACGTTAGTAGGTGATTAAATTAGTGGGTGGGTCAATAATTACGTGGGTAGTGGGTGAGTGGCTGAGTGGCTGAGGGAGTCGGCGGGTGGTTGGCTGGGTGGGTGGGTGAGTAGGTGGGTTATAAATTGAGTAGGTGGCAGGGTGAGTGGATCTGAAAGTGGGTGAGTGAGTAGGTGCACGGCTGGGTGAGTTAGTGAGTGGATGGTTGAGTGAGTGGGTGAGTGTGTGGGTGCATGGATGTGTGGGTGGGTGAGTGTGTGTGGGTAGGAGGTTAGGTGGGTAGTGCGTGAATGGATGGGTTAGAAATCGAGTGAGTGGGTTAGTCACTGGGTGAGTGAGTGGATGGGTGGGTTTGTGAGCTTTGGTTAAGAGATTGAGTCAGTAGCAGGGTTTGTGTGTGGTTTAGAGATTGAGTGGGTGGTTGGGTGAGTGGGTGGGTTAGAGATTGAGTGGCTCGGTGAGGGAGTATTGGGTGGGTGAAGTGAGTTGGTGGGTCAGTGAGTGCGTGGGTGGGTGATTCAGTAAGTGGGTGAGTGAGGGGTTGGGTGAGCGATGGGTTGAGTGGGTGTCTTTTTTGTTCGTGAGTTTGTGGGTGGGTGAGTTGGTCAGTTAGTGGTTGGGTGAGTAAGTGGGTGGGTGAGCAAGTGAGTGAATGGGTGTGTTGGTAGGTGAGTGTGTAGCTTGGTGAGTGGTCGTAGGGTGAGTGGGTCGGTGAGAAAGTGGTTAACGGAGTGAGTGGTTGGGTGGGTGGGTGAGTTGTTGACTGAGTGGGGTCAGCGAGTGGGTGGGTGAGTTGATGTGGGAGGTTGAGTGGGTAAGTTAGTGTTTGAGTTATTGGATGGGTGAGTCAGAGAGTGAGGCGCCAAGGTGGTGAGACGTGCACTGCCTCGCCTGGTATACAGGAGGTTGTGGATTCGATCCTGACCCTGTCGCCTGTATATTTGGAGTTTGCATGTTCTACACATGGTCACGTGGATTTTGCTGCAGGTCCTCCGGGTTTTCCCCTCTGCATTTAGAATCAACATGCGTTTAGAGGATTTGGCTGCAATAAATGTCTATGTGATAAGCCACTTCGTTTATCTATAATTTGTTCACAGGTCTATTCTGAAAAGGATCTATATAGCTCAATGGGCCTTACCTGGGGAAATAAAAAGTAGTTTAGTTTAGGGGGTAGGTGGCTCGTTGGGTCGGTAGGTCTGTTGCAGGTCGAGTAGGTGGCAGGGTGAGTGGGTGAGTAGGTAAGTGGCTGGGTGAGTGGGTGGACTGGTGAGTGTGTGAGTTAGAGATGGAGTGGGTGGATGGGTGGGTGTATGATTGGGGGAGTGAAATGGTGAGTGGATGGGTGAATGAATTGTTGAGTGAGTGAGTCAGTGAGTGGGTGTGTAGGTGGGTGCGTAGGTAAGTGGTTAGCAAGGTGTGTGGGTCTTTGAGTGGGTATGTGGCTGAGTGGGTATGTGGCTGAATGGGTATGTGGCTGAGTGGGTATGTGGCTGAGTGGGTATGTGGCTGAATGGGTATGTGGCTGAATGGGTATGTGGCTGAGTGGGTATGTGGCTGAATGGGTATGTGGCTGAATGGGTATGTGGCTGAATGGGTATGTGGCTGAATGGGTATGTGGCTGAGTGGGTATGTGGCTGAGTGGGTATGTGGCTGAATGGGTA